CTCGTCCTCGAGTAGGTGATAAAAAAGATAATTTTTGATGTGGAATGCTAGTTGGCATAATTTCAATGTAATTCTTCTTAATTGTGGTATGAATATTCAGATCCATAAGATTCAAGACAAAAGTTCATATTGACATAGAAATAATAATACTTCAAGCATACTAACTAAGCAATCATGCCTTCTCAAAATAACATGGCCAAAGAAAGTTATCCCTACAAAATCATATAGTCTGGCTATGCTCCATCTTCACCACACAAAATATTTAAATCATGCACAACCCCGATGACAAGCCAAGAAATTGTTTCATACTTCTGATGTTCTCAAACTTTTTCAATCTTCACGCAATACATGAGCGTGAGCCATGGACATAGCACTATAGGTGGAATAGAATGGTGGTTGTGGAGAGGACAAAAAGGGAGAAGATAGTCTCACATCAACTAGGCGTATCAATGGGCTATGGAGATGCCCATCAATAGATATCAATGTGAGTGAGTAGGGATTGCCATGCAACGGATGCACTAGAGCTATAAGTGTATGAAAGCTCGAAAAGAAACTAAGTGGGTGTGCATCCAACTTGCTTGCTCACGAAGACCTAGGGCATTTTGAGGAAGCTCGTCATTGGAATATACAAGCCAAGTTCTATAATGAAAGATTTCCACTAGTATATGAAAGTGACAACATAGGAGACTCTCTATCATGAAGATCATGGTGCTACTTTGAAGCACAAGTGTGGTAAAAGGATAGTAGCATCGTCCATTTTATTTTATTATTTTATTATTTTATTTTTATTTGGCCTTTCCCTTTTTTTATTTGGCCTTTTTTTATTTGGCCTTTTTTTTGGGACAATGCTCTATTGAATGATGATCATCACACTTCTATTTATTTACAACTCAATGATACAACTCGATACTAGAACAAAGTATGACTCTATATGGATGCCTCCGGCGGTGTACCGGGATATGCAATGAATCAAGAGTGACAAGTATGAAAGAGTCATGAATAATGGCTTTGCCACAAATACTATGTCAACTACATGATCATGCTAAGCAATATGACAATGATGAATGTGTCATGATGAACGGAATGGTGGAAAGTTGTGTGCCAATATATCTCGGAATGGCTATGGAAATGCCATAATAGGTAGGTATGGTGGCTGTTTTGAGGAAGGTATATGGTGGGTGTATGGTACCGGTGAAAGTTGCACGGTACTAGAGAGGCTAGCAATGGTGGAAGGGTGAGAGTGGGTATAATCCATGGACTCAACATTAGTCATAAAGAACTCATATACTTATTGCAAAAATCTACAAGTTGTCAAAGCAAAGTATTACGTGCATGCTCCTAGGGGGATAGATTGGTAGGAAAAGACCATCGCTCGTCCCCGACCGCCACTCATAAGGAGGACAATCAATAAATAAATCATGCTCCGACTTCATCACATAACGGTTCACCATACGTGCATGCTACAGGAATCACAAACTTCAACACAAGTATTTCTCAAATTCATAACCACTCAACTAGCATGATTCTAATATCACCATCCTCATATCTCAAAACAATTATCAAGCATCAAACTTCTCATAGTATTCAACACACTCATAAGAAAGTTTTATTATTCTTAAATACCTAGCATATTAGGATTTTAAGCAAATTACCATGCTATTAAGACTCTCAAAATAATATAAGTGAAGCATGAGAGTTCATCTATTTCTTCAAAATAAAACTACCACCATGCTCTAAAAGATATAAGTGAAGCACTTAGAGCAAATGACAAACTACTCCGAAAGATATAAGTGAAGATCAATGAGTAGTCGAATAATTATGCAACTATGTGAAGACTCTCTAACATTTAATAATTTTAGATCTTGGTATTCTATTCAAACAGCAATCAAAGCAAAATAAAATGACATCTAAGAATAGCAAACATCATGTGAAGAAGCAAAAACTTAGGATCAACCGGTACTAACCGATAGTTGTTGAAGAAGAAAGGTGGGATGCCAACCGGGGCATCCCCAAGCTTAGATGCTTGAGACTTCTTGAAATATTATCTTGGGGTGCCTTGGGCATCCCCAAGCTTGAGCTTTTGTGTCTCCTTAATTCCTCTCATATCACGGTCTCCCTAAATCTCAAAAGCTTCATCCACACAAAACTCAACAAGGACTCGTGAGATGAGTTAGCATAAACCATTGCAAAAACCTTATCATACTCTACTGTAGCAAATCACTAAAATCATTATTCAACATTGCATACTAAATGCTATGCATATTTAATAGTCCTATCCTCAAATAGAATCATTAAATAAGCAAACATATGCAAACAATGCAAACATAACATATTTCTCACTGCCCATTTGTTCTGTGTATTCCTCTGATATATGTAGCTGTGCAATTTTTGTAATAATTCTTTGAAGAGGAATGCTTGCTTTGGTTAAGACTGACATATGAGGTTCCCTGAGTTGTACTTATCCTCCATCGTGTGTTCATCACCGCCTCCAGCCGTGCTTCGAGTACGCGGCGTCCTTTGGCGGCGAGGAGGCCCGAGGCGAGGTGGCGCCTGCCGCCAGTCCCCAACCCCGTGCCTCTAGCCCCTTCTTCGCGCACGCGATGAAACGGTCGCTGATGTGGGAGAGGCCTTTAGTGACGAGGAGGCCCAGGGCGACACAGCCTGCAGTGGCGCTGGTGCTCCCAGTGCAACCACTCTAACGACGGCTAGGTGAGCCATTCCCCACCCTAGAGGTGCAGGTATTCTCCTTCAGTGATAGGTTTTTCTGTTTCAGTTGATTTTGTGCGGGATTTTATCGCAGGATGTTGTTGTCTCACATTGCGTGTGCTTTCTCTCAATTGGTTTGGCCCTGGCTAATTGATTTCAGATTTCTGTTGCCTGCAGATCCATTGTTCTTGTCGTCATTGGGCTGGATTGGTTGTCGCGCTCATCGACCTATGGGTAAGCCTCATTTTGACCCGGTTTTCATCGTCTGCTTCAGTTGAGCCATGATCTTGACACTTGTTTTGCTGCGGACTGGTCCATTCTTTGTAGGAGCTCCTTTTGGTCGACCCCCTCGTCTGTTCATTGTTGGATCTGTGGCAGCCTTCATGTCTTCGTCCAGGGACTTACAGGTCGACCCCTCTTCTCCTCCTTCTTTTCGTTGTTGTTCATTTGCATATCTAGGTTGGTGCTCGTGCGCGTGTATATTTGTTGTTGTTGTTGTTGTTGTTGTTGTTGTTCATTTGCATATCTAGGTTGTCTACTGGTTTTCTTTACTTGTTTGCTTCTTTGTGGATTACAGGAGTGCACTTTGGCTGGATCCTACTCCCTCCGTCCGGAAATACTTGTCATCGAAATGAATAAAAGGAGATGTATCTAGACATATTTTAGTTCTAGATACATCCCTTTTTGTCCATTTTGATGACAAGTATTTTCGGACGGAGGGAGTACTAGGGATGAATTTTTTAACTCGCTGACATGCATCCGGAGAGAATATTGATGGCTAGGGTTGATTGTGCAACGAAGGTATAATACTTCTCATGAAGGGTCATAATCTTCATCAGTTTGCTGAAGCTAAACAACTAAGCACATTAAAATGAGATATTCTTGCAATTATGTTGATTTGTGGTGAGAGAACCTAGAGAATTATTGATGTGTATATTCAGTTCATAGTTGTCCTGTTTATTACTGCAAACCTGAAAGCTATAAACACAGGATGTTCTTCTCACATGAAAGTATAGTTTCTCTTTTGATTTATCTTAATTCCCATTTCTGGCATAAACTAAATAATATACTAAGTTGTAGTATTGTATTGCTAATGTATTACTAAATCAAGCAGTGGTGTGCATTGGTATCCTTTTATACAGTGTAATGGTTCACTGTGTGAAATCTGCTCTTTCTAAAATGCACTTCATTTTTCATTTAATAACTTTAATATTGTTCTCTGCATCTTAAATGGTTTCATTCTTTATTATTTGTTTATCAGCTGCACTGACACTAAAGTACATATTGTAGATGGCAAAAAAATCAGGTACTTCTGAATGTCGGTGGACCAGATAGGGTTTCAAAATTACAGATGGCTGAGTCTGTTGCTGAAGTTCGTGGATACAACAAGTCGATAATCAAATCTGTGCCTGCAGCATCGGTATGAACTCTACCTCTGCTCATGCAAACTGTTTTCAGTGATTGTCGTAGTTCACAATGCACTACAGAATAGTCACGAACTTTACAGTTTGAATTAATTTTGCAGTTGTGCTAGCTTCTTTTCTCTTCCTTTATGTCTTAGGTTTCCAGCCTGTCTGCCTGACATGAGTTTATTTCAAGCATCGTGTAGTCATATGGCCATTTATCAATAGCTAATGGCCCCATCCATTTATTATTATCCAGGTTAATCAGGGTGTAGCTTCACCGTCAGACATATCCATGAATATCACCAAAGCTAACTGAAAAGCTCGATATCCAGCCGCTTACATTCCTGGTTGGAGTCAGAGCTATACACTTGACGCAGAAGCCAGTACATGATATTTATAGTTTGTTCAAGTTCCTCCACAAAATATCGAAGTGTGACTAAGCGCATGAAGATTATGCCTTCTTCAATGCCATATTATGCTGACAATTTTGAGGTAACTCGTGCAACCCTCGTGTTGTAGCTATTTTTCTTGTACATTGTCTTATAGCACCCGTTCTGTACTCTAATCATGTGAATTACTCATATTCAGGAACAAGCTGTAGAAGAGAGTATCTGCTCATAATAGAGATCCGCCTCCCTGTGACGAGGAGTTCATTATTTAAGTAGTTGTGCATGCCATTTTCAGTAAGCAGAAGCATTACATAAATATACATTTTGACAATAGGGCAAAAGCAGAGGAAATTGATTATATTTTCGTTTTTCTTAGGACCAGGAGCAGCTGCAGGCTATCACAGAACCAGTTCTATCATTTGTTCTGCAATGAAGTAGGCACACTCCACAATCTCAGTTCCTACTCTTTGTTATGCGCTGAGAGGAGGGAAGAAGGACAATGCGGTCGCAGCCCTATCCGCACCCTTCCCACCTGATTCACCCGCAGCACGCCATGCAGGTGATCTTCTCTATTGATATATTAAGAACATTGACTGCATTTCTTCTCTATGTTTCCGGACATTGTATATATTGTGTCTTGATAATGAAGTTTTTTAACTTCTATCTCCTGTAGCAATAGTCTCTTTTGTTCTTGCAAAAATAGGCAACTGCGTATATGATTGGGCATAAGCTGTATACCGAACACATTGTATGACCCTTAGTTATCTGATGATCATAATAATATTACAATTCAATACTCAGATTAACTTTCTCAACATTACTGATTTGAATTGGTTTATGAAGTAAATTAATTGTTCCTCTACCTCTGCCATTTGGTCTTGCATTCATGGGAAAACTTCATATGGGTTCTGGCTACAGTAAGTTCTATTTCTATGTGTACTGGAGTAACATTTTTTGATGGTCTTGATGGTTTGGTTGGGGGTATTGCTACTACTTTGGCACTCATTGGATTATCTGTCACTGCTCTTTCGATTTGCTTGGGTACCTTATTATTTCTGCCTACTATAGTGTTTTCTCAAAGTTGTAATCCCACATCGTTAGCATACTTGGTTTTGCATCTGAAAACTATCGGCCATAATGATGTTTTCTCAAATGTCAATTCCCAAAATGAATACTGGACTTGTGGGTGAGGAGGAGGACGCAGAGAAATATCACATATGCTGAAAGTGAAAGTGTTGATAGTCATTAGAAGACAACTAAACAACAAATGGTTAGAGTTCAGTTTCAGTTATGTATCAAATTTATTTATTTCATCGAGATGTCTGAGATTTAAATTAGAAGAAATTTTATTAGCTTTTCCATGCGGCTACAAAATCCCCTCGCTATTGTTTGATCTTGACAGCCTCTGAACCTGTTATATTCTGTAACTTTGGAGAATATGCTGGACATTCACTGTTGCTTGAGATATTAATATGTTCTATTTGAGATATATGGGTCATTGGATAAGTAGGATCCTCTATACCAAAGTGAACATGTTAGAAGTATTTACTAGATCTCCTCTGCTTTTTTGTGCAGGTGGCACTTTTGCTTGTGTCTTGTTTTCTTTTCGAAATGGTGAAGCTGACAATGATAGCTTGTATCACTGATGGCCTACAATTGACGGAGTGCTTAGATGGTGGTTATGTGAAGGATGTTGTCTTCTACAAGCAGCAAGCAAAATTGTTGTTCAAAAACATATCTAAAGACCAGCATGAACCATCAAGACTATCAACTGAGACTGGACCATACCGTTTCCAGGTCAGGGTATGTATTTACAGTACATCATACATTTTTTGCTTTCAGCAAGATGAGGATAATGTGACTGTTTGTGTGCGTGTGTGCTATATGATACATTTTCGCTTTCGTCAAGATGAGGATACTGTGACTATTTGTGTGCGTGCGTGCGTGCTATATGATACATTTTTTGGCCATAATCAAGATGAGGATACTTGACTGTTTGTGTGGGTGCTTTAGTGGTTCTAGGTTATTGTAGTAGTATAACTTGGCTTCGTTTACACAAAATCCAAATAGAATTTAGTTTGGAGCTGGTCAAGACATGGTGTAGTATTTATAACCTATTAATTTGGTTGGACTGGTCAAGTGTTCTATCAATTCTTGCTGCAGTATTTATTCTGTAGTATGTACTAGCTCTTAGACAAGATAATTGTTTAGCCCCTGATTTCTTAGCTACTGGTTGGTCCTGTAAGGCTACATCCTTGCTTTCTGATTAGTGTTATTTGAATCTATAGCAGTGGATATGCATAGAAGATCCGCTAATTCGGGTTTTTTGCCTTTATTTATCATGTGATGGCCGTTGTCGGAGCTTTGCCGCCTTCATCTCGACTCCGTCGAGGTTCCAGGTTCATGCTTCACCGCTCTCCCCACCGGTGATTTGCGGCGGCTGCGGGGTCTTCCCCTGCTTTGGTGGTGGCTGGCAGGCGTTCGCCCGGCCAGATCTGGCGCGGAGCAGGACCTGTGATGCATGGCCTGGTTTACGAGGGCAGGGGACACATGGGTCCTTGGTCCGGCAGCATCGGCGGGACGCTGTGCGCCCGTCTGCTTTCTTGCTAGATACGTGTTTGGGAAAAATCTACAATACTCCTTCGAGGTTTACACATCAATTGCAAAGGGTTTTCGGAATGCATCACTATATTGATTTTGGTTTATACATGAATTGCAGAGAGTTTTAGAAAAGTATCATATTGTTTTGGGTTTATATACGAATTGTAAAATGTTTTAAGCATGTGAAAATCAGAGCTCATGCGGCAGGTGATTTTTTTCTTGCTTCTAATGCTACGATGATGTTATGTATACTAAAAAGGACTCGTGCACACTTGCTTTGCTCCCTACTGTTTATGATCAGTTGCCAAACATTATAATAGGATATAACATTACTTCAAAACTAAGTATGTTCCTTGGTGATGGTGTATTTATTATGAAAATAAATAGGACTGCTTACGCATGGTGATGTGGTATTGCTACTCGAGTACTTACCCTGTTTCTGTGACAAAGGCCTGTGATAGATATGGTTAGACACATATTGAGCGTCCAATTTCATAAATATTGAGCATACAGTTTCAACTTAAACTTAAACAAGAGATTGTCTTGTTGTCGAGTTGTGTTCAGTTCTTTCCATGTAGAACTTACTAGAAATTCTTGCATACATCCTAAACAAATAAAGAACTGTATGCATTTAAATTAAGCAGTTCCGAAGAAAGAATTATTTCAAGTTATTTTGTTTGGAGATGAGTTTCCTTTTCTACACCTTTGTGTGAAGGATGGAGCCTCCACAATGCCTATGAGCCATGCTTTTTCCCACCCAGTAAAATGGTCTATTTTCAAGTGGCATCATACGGGGAAGGAGGGGATCTGAATCAAGAGTCGTAATGGTGCTTGTGATGGTATGTCTAGCACTTGCGCGACCCTGGAGTCTGGCTTCTTCTTGCAAGTAAGATCCTTTTGCTCTTCTATGCCCCCCACCTCTCTTGTGAGGATCTCTGGTTGTATTTGGGTAACCAGACCCCAAGAGATGTAATCCTATTTGGATATGAACTGTGTGTGCTAGCTTGATTTAGTTTATAGGAGTAGATTTTATAGATGAACTGTGTACGCTAGCTTGATGGTGATACATGCCATATCTCTGGATTGACTCCATGGGGTATCCATTAATGTCTGAGGTTTCGCAAGGAAATGAGTTTCTTGCATTCTCATGTTGAAAAGAATTGAAGAAACCTAGCAGAATATGGTGCCAAAGTTTTTAGTTCTTATTGGGTTCGTCCAACTATCAAGGTTTGCTGAAAATTATCAACTTGCTTTGTAGGCTTTGTATCATGTATCTTTGTTTCTGCAAGAAATCCAATTGGAATTGGTCTATTGTCTTGCACATGTACTTTCTTTTACTGTTTATGTATTTCAACCACTTATGTTATCTCTAAACCATTTCCGACGACTCAGGTTGACCATACTATTGTGAGAATCTCAGCTATGAATCATTCTTTATATCATGTTGGATTATCTTGGAATTCGTAGAGCCATTTACCGTCGAAGGATGTACTCACAGAACACAATCAGTGTGATTATGCTTTACTACACTTCTATCCAGAGTAATGGGATATGTATTCTGTACTGTACAGCTACCCTCTAATGCACTACCGATCAGCCTTCAATCTCTATATGTACAAATGACTTTCTAATTATTATGAATGACATGTGGAGTGTGCTGCTTTCTATATAAATGACTTGCTCTAATTCTGATTTATCAAACCGCGTTGCTTTTGATCTATTCCTTTTTGCCAAACTTGATGCTTCAAGCTTTGAGCTATTATACTAACACCGAATGTAAAATTTCAATGTACTATCTTGTGGCGTGCTCATATCACCTACTAATCCACAAGTACAAGTTCTCCATTCCTTCCTATCCTATATTAATGCTTTTGGTATCGAACTTAATGACAGTGGTTATCTTTTGTGGTCTTACGAACATGTTGAACTCAATGTTGCCTTATAATTTCATGCCAACATTGAACTCCATTATCTTTTTTATCACAAAAGAATGTTTTTTTTTCTTCACTTTAGTTTGTTATCATGTTTCATACGCTAAACGGAGATTCCTACTAACTTAATACTACTTTTCATCAAAATGTTGGGACCGGCACCCTCGCGCCTTGGCGCGATCCCTATCTAGTTCTAGTATTATACATGCTAGCTCTAATAGAAGAAGAGGAGGGGCACCTAGGTTAGACAGTCGACAGGCACTGCCATTGCACGGTACGTGGTCAAGGCACCATGACAGGCGTCGCTGTCGAGGATCTCGCGTATCCCGAGGTGTATCTCATCTCACCTCACCTAGCGGCTGATCAACACTCCGGTGCTCCTTGCTGGCAGGACATGCATTTCGCAAAAAGAAAAATATGAAGAAGAGAGAATGCTCTGGTACCTACGTGAGGCCATTGATGCCCGTCCACCAACTGCGGTCTGCGGAAAGCGATCCTGAAGTTACTCCAGCTATAGCCATGACCATAGGCCAGGCCAGGACAGTGTAAAACGCCGCTGGTGAACGCTGCCGCTTAACGGTACGAATCGTGAGAGACGGCCGTGCGTCGCAGCCAAAAGCGGTCGCCGTGGAGCCAAAACTGGAGACATGCAAGGCAGCAGCTGGAGCTAGAGCTACGCGCTTAAATGTTACTCCTACCACCTCCAGGCAGCGAGTGGAGTCAAGTGAGCTCGTTT